CAAATTCCTGACCCCGCACATCCAGAAGTCTGTGGCTTGCTTAGTACCCTAGCCCTACATCTGACCCCAACACTGCCCAGCCTGGAGCCCCCTCTTCGACCCAGCGTCCCCTTATCCATCTCCTCCCGCATCCAGATTTCCTCCCAGAGCTTGCACCTCTCACCTCTTCCCACACCCAAATCCCTCATTCCCACCCCAGAGCCTACACATCCTGTCTCAACCCAGCGAGGGTACGGCTAGACTGCAGGAGATTTTCAGGATTCCGGAGATATCCCAGAAAAACTCTTCTGCCTCCAGGGATGCGTTTGTTTTTCCACTTCTTTTAGTGGAAGGGCAAACATGATCTTTTGGTCACCCCTATATTCCTCTTTCCACAAGGAATAAGATGCTTTCAAAAGAAAGGGTTTTTCTGACATTTGGTCCAGTCTAGACAGGCCAAATGTTGGAAAAACCTCTTCCTACAAAAGAATTGGGGGAAAAAAACAACAGTGTAAGGGTTGAGGATAGCAAGTGATGGAGAGGAGGAGAATAGAGAGGGCGGGGCTTCAAGGAAGGGGCGGGGCGATAGATCTTGGCTTGTTCTGTCATTTAAAAAGTAATCTTGGATGTAAAAAGGTTGGAGACCACTGCTCTAGGAGAACTATGTGGGGAGGTCATGTGCTTTGTCACTTGTACTATAATAAGGCGCTAACCTGGCAAAACTGCGTTCTGAATATAGAGACGTATGGTGTAATTATCTTCTATATCGACTTAGTCTTAAGTAAGTTGTAGTAGTCTTGCTTGGAGAAATGGGACTTAATTGTTATTAGAATAAAACAGCAATGTCAGGAGATAGTTTGTTGTATCCAATAAAGACATGCAGCTTCACCACATTATCATCCACATTGAATGACAAACGATGAAAAACAATTTGACATATATGGTTGGTGAAATCAGATAAAAATCTTACTAAGCATAAGTGAAAACAAAGGGGGAAATGCAGCAATAAAGACTGAATTAAGTACATTGATTTCTATGTTGAACAAATCAGTTGGTGATGTTCTTTTACTTGCAGAATTTGCCAGTCTACATTACTGCAGACTTTCCAAAGTAACCTTTAAAAATGTATAAAACTGGAAATGAAAATTATTTGTGAGGTTCCAAATAGGGATGTAAGCGAGTTGTCAATTACTTGACTACCTGATAAGGCCAAGTTTATTGGATAGTAGGTAGGGATGTAATAGTATAGTTGATTAACCGATAAGCAAAAGCTTATAGGTTAATGCTATAGACTACATGCATTACCTCCCCCCTCTTCAGCCCCTTGACAGAAAATTGTTTTAGCACGCTGGCCAGCAGCCCAGCTCAGTCCCAGCTTGCACCGGGTCCTAGACCCCCACTGCGGCTCTGCATTTAAAATGTATTAGGAGGCAGGCAGGCAGCCCAGCCATGTTCCAGCTCATGTCGGGTCTGGGAGCTCAGATCCCTCCCCCCAGACAGGGACTGCCCGGGGATTATAGAATAGTCAACTAACCAATAAGAACTAATGAGGTTAATTAACTATTTAATTAACTGATATTTAACATCCCTATTGGTTAGTTGAGTACTCAACTATTCGTTCCCCCCGCTAGCTGTATGAGAGGCAGAAAGTGGGGGGGACAGGAGCTAGTGCTGAGGGGAAGCCGGCTTAAAAGCCGGTTCCCCTCAGCACTGTCTCCACGGTGGCACCTCCTCTTCCCCTCTCCTCCCATCCCCCGCTACCTCTATTGGAGGTGGGAGATAGGGAGGACTGCTGCAAAGCAGCCTCTGCTTTGCAGCAGCCCCTGTCTGCAGGAGTCCCAATGGGGAGCTGGGCCCCCCACCATGGACAGGTGCTGCAGCTGCGAAGCAGCCCTTGTTCGCAGCAGCCTCTGTCTCCACGGTGGCACCTCCTCTTCCCCTCTCCTCCCATCCCCCGCTACCTCTATTGGAGGTGGGAGATAGGGAGGACTGCTGCAAAGCAGCCTCTGCTTTGCAGCAGCCCCTGTCTGCAGGAGTCCCAATGGGGAGCTGGGCCCCCCACCATGGACAGGTGCTGCAGCTGCGAAGCAGCCCTTGTTCGCAGCAGCCTGGGCTGGCCATGGGCAGGGGC